GATTATGGATTCAAGGGTAATGATCTCATGTTTACGACACTTCTCATTCTCTTACTCACTTGCTCGAGTCTTGAAACAAGTTACTAATAATTGTAGAAGACTCCTCAAAAGATTCTAAGGGACCTTATCAAAAGGTTTGAAAGAACTCTCAAACTTGACTCTCAACTCTACCTTGAATTTGATTTATGAATTCAAGGTTATGATCATGTTAGGAATGCTTTTAGGTGTTTAGAAGTAGCTTAGAGTAGTTAGAATCGAAAAGGAGTGAATGTGCACTTTAAACGAACTCAAACGGGGCAACCGATGACAAACTGGGTGGGGCAGGCGATCCTGGCGCCAGCCCCTAAACTTCAGAGGTGGGTTTGGGGTGCTCTGGCAGGCGCATCGCGCCAGGCCCCAACCCAGAAAATTCAGCAAGTTTCTTTTCTCGTTTTCTCACCCTATTTCGCCTAGAATCGAATGGTTTCTTTCCCAATCACTTAGAATTGAATTCTTAACATAAGTACACTCTAATCTACTCAATACATCCCTTAAAACACTCACTTTGATCTCAAGAAATCATCCAAAACCCAACACAACAAGATTTAGAATGAACTTCAAGAACACCTATCAATAACTCATCAAGAATTCAAATCTTTCAACTTCAAGAATGAAATTTGCGCTGAAAATAACATGTTTGGCGTGTGGGTGAACAAAGCCAACACTATGGAAACTTACATACCTCTTAGGGATTAAACCCATGGAGAAAATCCGCAACAAGATGCAAGAATCTCGACGAACGCTTTCATCCTTTCTCTTTTCTCCTCTTCTCTCTTCTTCTTGAACTCTCGACTAAAACCCTAGGCGTAAACTAGGATTATAAAACTGAACCTAATAGGAATATACCCTTAAAATATTACTAAAAACGAATTAAATCTGATTGGGTAAGGAAAAGACCAAATTACTCCTCTAGAATCCGGTTTTGACTTTCCTTAACTGGACAACCTAACTTCAAAAGGCCATATCTCACTCATCCAACCTCGAAAATTAGCAAAATCGGTGGCGTTAGAAAGATAATTCAAAGGTCTTTCCTACGGTATCTAGTATCTCACCTAACTCATCCTGAACTGGAAGTTATGGTCGTTTGAAGTTGACCCAAAACTCATACTTAAGCATAACTTGCAAAATTTCAGATTTTGCTATTTCCAATTTAGTTCTTTTTTGAACTCAAGGTGCTACATCTAGTGAACTTAACACTTAAGAAATTTTAATTCCTCGGTAAAATCTCACTCACTTCGATGAACGGTTCGAGTCTTAGTTCGAAAAAATTTCTGGGGTGTTACAAACGTATGTTCTAATGTATGAATTACTAGCTATTTTATATCTTTTACTAGGATTTATTTATCTATTTGATTTTTTATTTTTCTTTTCTTGAGTTGAAATTCAAATTATAGTTATAAAAGATAAATAATAATATATTTAAATTATTGAGATTAAGCGTGTCACGACTAACTTAATTTTTTTTTAGCTCATTTGAGCCCAAAGTAAATTTGGGTTTCTCATGACCTAACTCAATTTCTATTTTCCAATTTAACACAGCCCTCCCATTTGAGTGATCCAACATCTCAGCCTGGTTATGGTGCTACCTTACGGGGCTGTTAACTGTATTCAAAGTAGCATAATTGCATATAGTAAACATAAATATGAAGCAAGCCATTAGCATATCTTGGAGTAATTGACTTTCAATTAAAAATACCCTTCACCGTCTTGCTTGCTTCTGGAAAGCTGTCATAGGGAGCCTAGCTTTGTTGGTGAAGGCTCTTGCTATTTTGCTATTTCCTGGAAGGAGGTTAGCTGTTGATTACATATCAATAGAAATACTATGGGCAAGTATGAAGTGAACTTTCAATTGCTGTCCAAAATGCCTCAAGAAACTCAACTCAGGGGAAACAGAAGCATATCATTGGATGAATTGACTGAACATAATTAGAAAGAAAAATTGATGAAAACAAATTCAGAATAACATTCAATGTGCTGGTAAACTTTTGATATCACAATTTCCAACAGTTTTTTCTAGTTCAATTTTCTCTCATATGCTAATTGTCTGTCGAATTTGTCTTTGATAAAAAAATAAAATATAACAACTAATTCAAGAAGAAAAAAGCATCAAAAGACATGTCTGGAAGAGTAGAAATCAAGCATCGATCTCAAGTCCATG